GTAATGTAACATTTATTTTTTTTCTTCACAGTAACATCAAATTTTAATGCATAGTAACACGATAACTTTAACAAAATTCAGTAGATATATGTTATACTGTAACATCAATGAGATATTTTCTTCCTTGTTTTTTCACAAAATACGGTTCACAAAAATTACATTATTTAGAGTAATAACACATAATCGTCAGTTCAATTAGGACACTCATCACCACTTGTGAATGTCAAGACATCGAATATGTAAAAATGATTTTCCTTTTCCCTCGCAGTAACATCAACTTTTTTTTACAAGTAACACAATCAAGCATTTTTTGATTGTTTTGCCCAATAAAACTTCCAAAAAATTAAAACACATATTATTTAATTTAGTAACAATGAATCGCATTATGAAATTAGAAATGCAAAAACAATGAAAATTTTGAAAACTTGATTATGTAGAATATTTTTTTAGACCCTATAATGAACAACAACTTTTCTATAAAATCACATACCTTAACACTAATTCTGAATCCCAAAAGATTGAATATGTTTTGAACACCAAGAGTGAACAACAACTTCGTCAATGGCTTCCACAGTAAACTGACATAGTAAATTGGCATAGTAAAATCGAATTGGTTTAAACTGAATGTATTCAGAGTCAAATTTGAATGTGAAAAGATTTTTTGGTAATTTTAGTTATTTGATTTTCAGAGAAGGAAACATTGTGGCTGTGAAGATTGTAGCCTGATTGGAAGGTGACTATTGCTGGAGTAGTAGATTGACTCCGTCTGTGAAGAGTTTCCTTCAAACGTCATTTATTTTTTTTCTAAAGGGAAGGGTTAGAATAGTAAAATTGACAAAACAGACATAAAACCAAATAATTTTCTTGCAGGACTATCTCCAAATAATTCTAGAGGGACCAGCCTCCAAATTTTCTTAAAAAATTAGCTTAAAATGCTCGGTTCAAACTCGTAAAACTCAGCTCGTTTATATGTAAAATAGTTAAGTTATTCGGACTCGGTTCAAATTTGGTTCAGTGACAAGCAACGAAGCAAGAATAAACCACATACAATCGAAAAGAAACGACCATAATGAAATTTTTGGAAATAAAAGAGGGTGTATCTGAAATTAATAAAAGGGCGTATATACTGTAATTTATCCAACGAGTAATTCATACTTGTTTTCCAAGTAGCCCAACACTGCCATGAATTAGGGCTTGGACAGTTAGTCCAGTTTCCGAACTCCCAACCCGACTGTATATATTATGCTCAAATAAACAACAAAAACAGAAAAGCGAAAAACCACGATCTCATTCTCACTCTCTCTCTATCTCTCTCTTCTTGTTTATGTCCGTTACAGCTCCGATGCACGGCCGCACCAGCGTACGCGTCGTGGTTGTCGGCGACCGTGGCACCGGAAAATCGAGCCTCATCGCGGCCGCTGCCTCCGAAAGTTTTCTGGAAACCGTGAAGCCCGTTCTGCCACCGACTCGACTCCCTGCCGATTTCTACCCCGAAGGCGTTCCCGTCACAATCATCGATACTGCATCCAGGTTAACAATTGTGATTTTCTTTGGTAAATAAACTGGACTATTATTGATGGAAACATAGAGTTTACAAGATTAAAGCATTAAGGAACAAATAGCAACCTAAGCGGAACAAAGAAAGAAAGATCAATGCAACTACAAACAAAGCCAAGCAATTGCAATCCCATATATTTTACTTGTTATTATTTACATGTGACTTTCATTCTTTTACTTTTTCGTTGAGTTTTTGATCGATTTCTTTTTTCTTTAATGCAATTTTTGATGTAGTTTGGAGAGTAAAGGTAAGCTCGCTGAAGAATTAAAGCGAGCCGATGCGGTGGTGCTAACCTATGCATGCGATCAGCCTGCAACGCTTAATCGTCTTAATACTTTCTGGCTTCACGAGCTTCGTCGATTAGAAGTATGCATCTTGAAATTTGAACGGCTAAACGATATGTTCTGAACTTTTCTTGTTTAGTTGATATTTAATTTTTTTTACATATTCCTTCCTTGGTTACATGTAGTTGTTTAACCTCAGATTAAAGTGCGGGGTTAAATCCCGTAAGATAAATTGTGCACCAAAGAATGCGACCTAACAGCACAAGCTTTTTGAGTTAAGTTAGGTTCCAGTGTGTTCGAGGATTACTTTTTAATCCTCGAACACACTGGAACCTAACTTAACTCAAAAAGCTTGTGCTGTTAGGTCGCATTCTTTGGTGCACAATTTATCTTACGGGATTTAACCCCGCACTTTAATCTGAGGTTAAACAACTACATGTAACCAAGGAAGGAATATGTAAAAAATTAAATATCAACTAAACAAGAAAAGTTCAGAACATATCGTTTAGCCGTTCAAATTTCAAGATGCATACTTCTAATCGACGAAGCTCGTGAAGCCAGAAAGTATTAAGACGATTAAGCGTTGCAGGCTGATCGCATGCATAGGTTAGCACCACCGCATCGGCTCGCTTTAATTCTTCAGCGAGCTTACCTTTACTCTCCAAACTACATCAAAAATTGCATTAAAGAAAAAGAAATCGATCAAAAACTCAACGAAAAAGTAAAAGAATGAAAGTCACATGTAAATAATAACAAGTAAAATATATGGGATTGCAATTGCTTGGCTTTGTTTGTAGTTGCATTGATCTTTCTTTCTTTGTTCCGCTTAGGTTGCTATTTGTTCCTTAATGCTTTAATCTTGTAAACTCTATGTTTCCATCAATAATAGTCCAGTTTATTTACCAAAGAAAATCACAATTGTTAACCTGGATGCAGTATCGATGATTGTGACGGGAACGCCTTCGGGGTAGAAATCGGCAGGGAGTCGAGTCGGTGGCAGAACGGGCTTCACGGTTTCCAGAAAACTTTCGGAGGCAGCGGCCGCGATGAGGCTCGATTTTCCGGTGCCACGGTCGCCGACAACCACGACGCGTACGCTGGTGCGGCCGTGCATCGGAGCTGTAACGGACATAAACAAGAAGAGAGAGATAGAGAGAGAGTGAGAATGAGATCGTGGTTTTTCGCTTTTTCTGTTTTTGTTGTTTATTTGAGCATAATATATACAGTCGGGTTGGGAGTTCGGAAACTGGACTAACTGTCCAAGCCCTAATTCATGGCAGTGTTGGGCTACTTGGAAAACAAGTATGAATTACTCGTTGGATAAATTACAGTATATACGCCCTTTTATTAATTTCAGATACACCCTCTTTTATTTCCAAAATTTCATTATGGTCGTTTCTTTTCGATTGTATGTGGTTTATTCTTGCTTCGTTGCTTGTCACTGAACCAAATTTGAACCGAGTCCGAATAACTTAACTATTTTACATATAAACGAGCTGAGTTTTACGAGTTTGAACCGAGCATTTTAAGCTAATTTTTTTAAGAAAATTTGGAGGCTGGTCCCTCTAGAATTATTTGGAGATAGTCCTGCAAGAAAATTTATTTGGTTTTATGTCTGTTTTTGTCAATTTTACTATTCTAACCCTTCCCTTTAGAAAAAAAATAAATGACGTTTGAAGGAAACTCTTCACAGACGGAGTCAATCTACTACTCCAGCAATAGTCACCTTCCAATCAGGCTACAATCTTCACAGCCACAATGTTTCCTTCTCTGAAAATCAAATAACTAAAATTTACCAAAAATCTTTTCACATTCAAATTTGACTCTGAATACATTCAGTTTAAACCAATTCGATTTTACTATGCCAATTTACTATGTCAGTTTACTGTGGAAGCCATTGACGAAGTTGTTGTTCACTCTTGGTGTTCAAAACATATTCAATCTTTTGGGATTCAGAATTAGTGTTAAGGTATGTGATTTTATAGAAAAGTTGTTGTTCATTATAGGGTCTAAAAAATATTCTACATAATCAAGTTTTCAAAATTTTCATTGTTTTTGCATTTCTAATTTCATAATGCGATTCATTGTTACTAATTAAATAATATGTGTTTTAATTTTTTGGAAGTTTTATTGGGCAAAACAATCAAAAAATGCTTGATTGTGTTACTTGTAAAAAAAAGTTGATGTTACTGCGAGGGAAAAGGAAATCATTTTTACATATTCGATGTCTTGACATTCACAAGTGGTGATGAGTGTCCTAATTGAACTGACGATTATGTGTTATTACTCTAAATAATGTAATTTTTCAATTTGTGAACCGTATTTTGTGAAAAACAAGGAAGAAAATATCTCATTGATGTTACAGTATAACATATATCTTACTGAATTTTGTTAAAGTTATCGTGTTACTATGCATTAAAATTTGATGTTACTGTGAAGAAAAAAAT